AGGCATAAAGCGGGAGTAGTTGTTTGCCAAATTTGTCATCTTGACTCTTTGACTTTAGAATGCGTCTCCCCATGAATTAATCAAGGATACAGTACCCAGCTAATGTGGATCAGTCCTACAGAAACAAGGTTGGCCCAGAGCCTGTAGCAAGTTTTCTTTGGCCCAAAATAATGTTCTGAGATATTCTGTTGATTTGTCGAGCAACCAATCAAATCTCAAACCCTTTTTTTTTTTTAGGCTATTTAGACTGCAATTAGGTGGCCCTCAAAGTTAGCGATGTCGAAAACTTGGGAGGTCAGTGAAGACTTTCACTTAACCATTTGGTTAATTTTTGTTTTTTACGAGCACGGATCCAAATTCACAGGACCCACCATGTTTGTGAACCTTGAAGTGGGCCGATAGCAGCGGCTCCATATATAATAGATTTTTTTGGGTATTTTCGAAAAATTATATGTGAAAAACCTTTACGATAAATGTTTAAATGTTTATAGGGGCTAATTACTCAAATTATTGATGAAAAAAATAAGTCGAACGAATGTTAATCTGACGGGCTGACACTAGGCTGTCAGCCCGGTAGCAAGTAAACTAACACACGGATAAAGGGCAGGGACGGTCATCAAGTGGACCATTCCTGAGCTGTTAAGGGCAAGATTTGGCCAAAAACAAAATGTGCGATCCATATCACTAGTTGTACATCGATTTTTACAATGTGTGTGGGGCTCGCAAAATTTGATACTAAAGTTATACGTTGTAGAAACAAAGTTACGCTGTGTGCAACCAAAGTTACGCGCTGTTGAAAATGATCAAAACCGCCAGAAACAGTTGCATGTCCACTAACACATTGGCTGTCGGGCTGTCTTTAAAAAAAACAAATTTGAATTTGCTGCCTGTAACAATTGTTTTTTACATCCCTGTCGGATCAATATTCTTCCGACTTTTTTTTTCACCAATAATCTGAGTAATTAGCCGTTTTTAGGGGATGTATTTTATGATATTTTTAGAATTAAATTTTTTTGAGATATTTTTTATAAATTAATCACCAACAACCTATCCACCCATCAATCTCCTATTCTCTCCTCCCCTCATTCCTCCTCCCTCTTCCCCTCATAAACTTGTTAAACGGTTATTCGTATGCTTTGGTAGATCTTGTTTTATTTGATTGCATAAATTCTACATCAGAGCTGTCTATTATGCATTCTTATTTGCCTACATATCTTTGTGGGTGATTTGGTTTTCTTAATCATTAATTATTTGGTTTATCTGATTGCATATTTTCTACATCAGAGCTATCTTTTATGCATTCCTATTTGATTGGATATCTTTGTGGGTGATTTGGTTTTCTTAATCATGAATTATTTTTAGATCAAGGTGCTCTTGAAATGGAAGCTAGAATGTCTCCGCTGATATATGAGAGAAAAATTTGTTTAATGGCTTATTAACTTATTGTTTAGTATCTCCACCACTACCACTACTGTGGCCGCCCGCGATTAGAGGGAGGAGGAAGGAGGGGAAGGGAAGGGAAGGGGAAGAGGGATGAGGAAGTAGGATGAGGGGGGGGGGGCGGTAATGACAGTGGAGACGGCTATGGAGGTGAATGAGGAGAAAGAGATGGTGGCGGTATTGACCGGTGGTAGTGGGCGAAAGACGAGTATGTGGTAAGATTTTGTTTAAATTTTTTTATTTTAAATAACATATTATGGTAGACATGTTTATATTTATCTAATAAATCTAGTTGCTACATTAAAGGAAATTTTTGTATTTAAAGAATCACGGAGAAAAAAAGTGGGGACGTGAGGGAGTTATAATTTGATCTCAACCAGATAACTCTTTACAGATTGTGCAAGTTCTTTTTTTCTAGAATATATTGAGACCAATTTGTTATTATAATTAAGGAAAAATTAGAAATTTCAAAAAAGTGACACCGTATATTTATTTCCCACGGTATTGCTCTCCCTTTACATATTGTATAGATATTTATTTAATGTGTTAGGAGATTACGTTCTCCATTTGTATATTAAGAATATACTATGTTGACAAACGAATTTTCTTTACGCAAAAGTGATTAATAAAAATGCTTTCATTGTGCTGTGCAATTGTGAATTTTTTTTGGTGTTATGATAAATATCTTCTAAGTTGTATTGCTATTTTGCATGTTAATATTGTCATTGTTCTCTTCCTCGACACTTATTCCTCGTAAAATGGTATTACCATAATATTATGCATGAATTTAATAGAATCCACATCCTATGTCTTGTATACATGTGGTTTACCATATACAATTGTTTACACAACTTAAATATGCTATAACTTCGAAATAATGTCGAGGAGTTATCAAATTTTCCATAATCAACTTTATTTAATTCTTTCAGTCAATGTTCTCTCGTTTACAATCGCCAAGCATTGTTTTTCTCTCGCCAATGATCCTTTTGAGTTTAGATTAATCAAATCCAAAGTCTAGCAAAAAATCTGTGTAATGAAGAATAATTAGTTAAAGAGCAGAGTGAAAATGGGTGAAGACAGGACAGTATAGTGTTCTTTGTGGGTCAATTCGTGGGCCGATGATGCAAGAATACAATAAAAGACTTTTTCGATACTGGCTCACATTATGGGCCAAATAGATTCTTAAAAACATAAAAACACTACAACTATGGGCCTATCCTCTGTCTTGCCACTGCCTTGTTACTCTCTCTCTCCTTTTTTTTTTTTTTTGTTGAAGGGGAAAGAGACAAGAAAGACAAGGGCTTGGGGGGCAGGCTTCGAAAAATAATTTAGTGCATGCCTTTGTCTATCCTATTTCACACCTTATAACATAAATCATTCAGAGTAAATCTTATATAAATTTACCGTGTGTACATTATCATCATTAAATCCATGACATATAATTGAATGTACAAGTAAATGTTATGTTCGAATCGATTAAATTAACAAATGAGCCAAATGGCTAGAATCTAGAGGGTTTAATTAGCACTGGCGTTTGACTCATTATGTTTCTGTATTTGGGCTGAGGACTAAAACCTTGAGACGCAGAACAGTGTAGGCTCATTGGAGCCCTAGGCCTATTGGCTAGAATGTCTAATAGAAATTTAGAACATGGGCAAATAAATTACCATGCATTAACAGTCACCTTATGTACTTTTTTTTTCCTTCCCAAAAAGCAGCTACCTTAGGTAAATGTTTACAAAAGAAAAATAACTACTTCATATATCCATTACATTATTTTTCATGATGGGTTATATATTAAATAAAAAGATAATAACTAGTTGTGGAGGCTAGTGGACAGGGAGTCAAGCTTCCGCCCAGTAGATCGAGACTCGCATCCTTGGTTGGTAGTTTTAGGGTAAGAAGGGAATAGGAGAGCGACGGAGGTTAAAAAAAAATATATATAATAAAAAATGTGTTTACGGTGTAATAGAAACAAACGAGATGAGAAAAAATTTCCAACATCGGAATCAAACATAAAAGGATGTCCTTAAACGCTATTTTCTCAAATTGTATCCAAGTTTCGAACGAATATCCAATTAAGTGGATGAGCGGAGCTATTGAAACCCCCCCAATTAAACATCCATTTTTTTTAAAAAAAAAAAAAATTCGAGTTGGGTCAACGACAAAATTAGTCAACTTATGGGAAAGCTACTTGCCTAGAATGCCTAAGAGTAAACTAAACGAGAAAGAAAATCAGTAAGCGGCGGAGGCGTGAAATATGCACGTGAGCCCTACCTTGAAATTAGATCGCCAAACCAAGGGCATATCCGGTACAAAACCATAATGAGCCGAAAGGCAAAAGCAGTGTGAAGAAAAAAGATAAAAGCTCAAACCAACTCCACCGTTTCACTTGTTCCTTTTTGCCGTGAAACCATTTGGTTCGAAACATTTATGATGTTCTCTCTCTTTTTTTTACATGAATTGATTGTGTATTATAAGGCATTGAGGGTGGAGTTAGGGGGTTTTTTCAAAGAAGAATTTAAATATAATAATACGTTAATTTTGGAGACTTGATTTATAGTTTTTCTTGTAGATTTTCTAGTCACAAAATGCTCAAATACATACACCCAAAGGATCATATGGATATGGATTTTAAACCTTACACGAGCGAAGGAAATCAAATTATTCGATAATTTTTTTTTATTAATTATAAAACAAACTGTTGCATTTAATGTCTGGAATGCCCTCATTTTAGCAGTGATAGCAAGGTAAATGCGTATAACGGTAAATCAAATTTAGCCAAGCCAAGCATTTGGAAAACGTTACGGGTGGGTTTGGACAGGAGATTATTTGTTAAAATATATTTACTTACATCGTTATTATAATTTCTAATATATCTTTTTATATTCTCAATTATCTTTTTATTTCACATACATCACATCAGAAAAAGTGTTACCGCAAAAATACCTCAAATAAGTTACAATCCAAACACACTTGTTGTTATTTGCATCTCATGTTTTGTTACTGGCACTTCCATCATTTGTTATATCATATAATTTAATAAATAAAAATTATATAATAAAACGATAGTGGAAATGTAAATAACAAAAAAAAAAAGAGTGTAAATAACATTTTCCCAAGCATTTTGCTAAATTGTAGATTTCGTTTTTTGAGCTTTAAAGGGACCTGAATCTTACATAAGCAACAAAAATTGAGAGCCGAATTAGAAAATATTACACCATAAATATTTCTTTTATGTCGGTGGTGAAATGAGTTGTTGCGTTTAGGCATGCTCGCGCGGTCTGATCGAGTCGCGTTGTAAGAAGGCTTTTGGGGGGCATTCCACAAGAGGGAAAATTATACTAATAATTGATTTTCAGCGATTGTGGAAAAAGATGGTTAAATATATTATAAAAAGAAAGTAAAGAAATTCAGCGGACGTGAAAGGCGAAATAAATTGTAGCACAATAAAGGCGTCGAGATACGTTCACTACCACGCACGCGCGCGCGCGCACACAGAGTCACACATAGTCTCTCACATAGCAACCCCCCACCCTTCTTTTTTCTCTCTCATCCCAAAGCTTGTCGCCTCATTCTCTCTCTCTCTCTCTCTCTCATCCTTTCTCTCTCTAGAGAAGTGAAGGCTTTCTTTCTTTGTCCCTTATCGCCTCACTCAGAAATCTCTCTTTCTCAGAGAGAAGAGGTAAAAGAAAAAAAAGGAAAAAGGAAAGAGTTCTGGGCTTCAATTAAATTAAGCGGAGGAACTCAGAGTTTGTAATTTTTCAAGGCAAACCCTAACCCTAGCTGGGAAAAAAAAATTGCTGTTGCACCTGCCGCGGCAGCGGAGGTGGAGGGAGAAGTTGAAGAAAGATCTTGTGGTTGGAGAAGGATTGGGCGGGGGTGTATTGTGTGCGTGTGTGGCAGATGCGATTGAAGAGTGGAAGAGTCGTAGGAGGAAGAGGAATTGATGCCGCCGGAGCCATTGCCGTGGGATCGGAAGGACTTCTTCAAGGAGAGGAAGCACGAGAGGCAGGAGCCTTATCACCATCATCACCACCACCATCATCTGCACCCTACGGGTGGTGGTGGAGGAGGAGGAGGGGGCTATGGGGGTGGGATAGGGGGATTTGGGGGTGGGCCAAGATGGAGGGAGCCGCCTCATCCCCATCCCCATCCCTATCACTATGCTTCGCCTCGCTGGGTTTCTGATTTCCGCTACAGACCACCTCCTGGTGAGTTTCTACTTTGCTTTTGTATTGTCCTGTGTCTCCTATCTTTTCTTTTCAATTTTTGGATTTCCAGACCTTGGGTTGTGGTTCTCTGTGCTTTTGATGCCATTTTGGCTTTCCCTTCACTTGTGGGGGCGGTTGCAGTGAGTTTCAGTTGAGTTTTTTTTTTTTTCTTTTTTGATAAATCAGTGGTTAAGGATCTGCAAGGTGTGAATTTTAGAAGTTTCGGGCGCTTGTAGGTGACTTAGGGGGTGGAACTTGTCTGTATCTGCTTATAGGTACAAAGATTAGTTAGGAACCATGGTAAGGAGTACTCTGTCAAATTTCGTGAATAAATTGGGCCGGGAAACCTGTTCTAGGGGAGTAGAGTTTGAAATAGATTTTTGGTAGTTAGATGCCGAAGTAGTTTTTATTTTTTTCTGATACCCGTTTATTATCTAGTTTGCTGTATTTGTAGGGCTTTAGATAGACTTTTCCTTTAAAATTTGGCAGATCTGAAGTTTTGATACTGATGTATTTGTATATTATTGGTCCATGACTGCTGTTTCGTAGATCTGTGGTTTTTGTTGATTGCTTTTGGGAATGCCTAATTTTGGCAGCGATGCTAATTTATCCTTATTTTTTTATTTGTGGTTGGAGGGTATATTCTTTGCTTGTGTTGATTTTTTGGTGCTTTCCTTGGCCCTGTTTTTGGGGTTTGAATTTTTTGGCTGAAGGTTATGGTAAGCAGGGTGGTAGACACCTTTATCCAGAAGAATCCAGTCACGGGTTTGTGCCATCTCGCCCCAGTGACAGGGTGTTTGAAGATGAAAACTGTCGGGGATCTGTGTCTGGAAAGTACAGTAGAAGCAACAGAGAAAGCAGGGGCCCTTTTGGGCAGAAGGACTGGAAAGGTCAATCGTGGGAGGCCACTCCATCACCCAATGCTCCTGGAAGACCACTTGAAACCAGCGATCAGCACAGGTCAGTGGATGAGATGCAAACATGCACTTCCTCCCACCCTCATTTGGACTCTGCAAACTCATGGGATCAATCTCACTTGAAAGATCAGCACGAGAAGAGCAGTGGGGTGGTAAATGCATTGGGCAGCTCTGGCCAGAGACTTGAAAGGGAGAATTCTCTAGGCTCAATGGATTGGAAGCCTCTGAAGTGGACTCGCTCTGGAAGCTTGTCTTCACGGGGTTCTGGTTTCAGCCACTCAAGCAGCTCCAAAAGCATGGGAGCAGACTCCAATGAAATGAAGGCCGAGGTGCAGCCAAGCAATGTGACTCCTGTTCAATCTCCTTCCGGGAATGCTGCTACACCTGTTGCTGCTCCCGCTGCAGCCTACGAGACATCTGCTGGTGCATCTGAAGAGATGAGTTCACGCAAGAAACCACGCCTTGGTTGGGGTGAAGGGCTGGCAAAGTATGAGAAGAAAAAAGTTGAAGGTGTTGATGATACTACACTGAAGAACGGGACAATTATCTGTAGCAGCAGCAGAGAACCTTTGCATTTGCATTCCTCGCACCTGGCTGATAAAAGCCCTAGAATTACAGCCTTTTCAGACTGTGCATCTCCAGCTACACCCTCTTCTGTTGGTTGTAGTTCCTCACCAGGTAAATTTGAGGGTTTTTTGCTTAAGAAATATGTCCACAAATGCCACTCTTTCTAGGTACTTTGAGTGTTCACTAAATGTCTTAGTTTCAGACTTGAGCACCTTATCTCCTTACACCCCATGATAGAGAGATCGATAGAGAGAGAAAATAAATGAGGATGCATTTGTGAACTTTAGGATCTGATTATTGTCATCGTTAGGGAGAAGGGATTCTTCCAATCCATCTAACTACAGTTCCATTAATCTCACTGTGGTGCTTGAGGTTCGACTGGTTATCATTATATTCTCTTAAAAGGCTAGCAATCTTCACTGACCACTATGAGCAAAGTTAGGGAATTTCTTTACTTGCTTCTTGTGCTGCTTCTCGTGTTCTTCATTTAGCCTAGTACAAAATCAAGTTTTTTTTGGTGATCATGACAATTTGTGTGGATAGTTTATTATTTGCATAATTTTATTTGCTTGCATCATAAACACATTTTCCAACTACCTTTTTGTCTCACATGCATCATATCAAAAAGTGCTAGAGTGTTTAAAAAAATTTTCCCAAATGATCTCCTATCCAAACATGCTCAATGTTTCTACAGCCAGTCTTCCATCAAGTTCAATTTCTGTGGGCTTTTTATTCTCATTTTCAATTTTTACTCGGATGGTTGGCCAGCTGAAACATTTGTATGCAGTGTTATCTTTCTTTTTTTTTTTCCCCCTATTATTAGTGAATTGTTAAAGCTTGGCCTTTGATGGTCTTGAAAATGAAGATGCTTTGCATTGAGAACTGCATTTAGGACATTTATTGAGCTGCATAATGAAGATTTTGGTTCAGTTGGACAGTAGGCCTGAGTCAATATGGATATGAGAGTGTTTTTGAAATTGCTTTAAAATAAACTAAACTAGTTCACATTGCTAACTGGTTTTTAATTTGAAGATCTTGTACCATTCTTCGTGGCCATTTAACCAAATTATTTTGCTGTCACACTTCGGTTCTAACCATAAATCAATCATAGCACTATTAAATTTTTGACGGGTTTTGGCAGTGAATGCTGGTTCGTACAATTCAATTGCAAGACATATTGGTCATACATGGTCTTTAGCTTGACAAAAATCATCAAGTTCTAGATGTGCTTTGATAATGAATTGGGAAGAATTATACAATTCTGTATATAGATTCTAATTGGCATAAGTAGGGTTTGTATCTAGTTGTTCAACCTAGTATTCTCTTAAAATAGTGCATTTGAGAACTTCATATTTAAGAGTTTAAAGTTTTGCCTTCTTGTAACTAGCAGGTCTTGAGGAGAAGCAGTTCATCAAAGCGCCAAGTGTTGATAATGAGGCTACTAATTTAAGTCCCAGTATTGCGTCTCAGGACCATCGGGACCATATTGAAGGAGCAACTTTTAACTTGGAGAATTTGGACCTTGCTGAGAGCGGTCATTTCAACTCTGCGATCAATGAGTTGCTTCTATCTGATGACCTGATCTCTGTAGATTCTGGCTTCGTTAAATCCACTGCAATTAACAAGTTGTTGGTGTGGAAAGGTGATGTTCTAAAGAAGCTGGAGATGACCGAGTCTGAGATTGATAGGCTTGAAGGTGAGTTGAAGACATTGGCATCCATACCTGAAAGCAGCTGTCATCATCCAGCTGTTTCCAGCTCCCTGCCTATGGATTGTTTTTCAAAACCTGCTGAAGAACAAGATGTTACGTCCAGTATTTCTCATAGGCCTGCCCTGTTGGATCTTGGATCATCTGGGCACAATGATGCAGAGAAAATGCCTAATGTGCTGGTGGATGACGATGCCAAGGTCAAAGATGAGGATGTAGATAGTCCAGGTAGTGCAACTTCTAAATTTGTTGAAGTCGTCTCTTCAGGGAAAGATGCGTCTCCATCTGAACCAGGCAGTGAGCCAGGCAATGACAGTGTATGTATCTCAAATACAGATTGTGCTATGTCAAAAAACCTGGAATTAAGTTATGTTGGTAATGGGGTGCATGAGGACAATGGAGGAGAAAATTTTCAACTGGTTGCTAGTTGTTCTCCGACTCATTTGGATGAAATTAGCTTATGTGATGATAAAGAGCTTAAGTTATGTGAATCAATATTTGCTTCCAACAAAGAGTCTGCAAGTAGAGCTGCTGAAGTATTTAATAAGTTATTGCCAGCTGATCTTTGTAAGTTTGATATCTCGGGTGTTTGTTCTTTGAAAAGCAATTCCATTGTTAAGGAAAATTTTCTGAGGAGAAAGCGTTTCCAGCAATTCAAGGAAAGATGTATTGCTCTCAAGTATAGGGCCCTTCAGCATCTTTGGAAGGCAGATGTTTGCTCCCTTTCTATGAGGAGATTTCGTGTGAAGTCTCATAAAAAGCTGGATCTAAGCTTGCGCACGGTGCTGAACAGCTCCCAGAAACATCGTACATCATTTCGTTCTAGATTGTCTTCACATGGTAAGCAATTTTTAACTTGGTTATGTGTGCTTTTAAAGTCTACTAGTATCTGATTATGAACATGCCCATGCCAGACTGCAATACCTGAAAAATTTGTGTTGGTGTTACAATTTGGCTGAAGTTGTGCTTTGGATAGAAAATTTAAGTTTCATTTGTACTTTGAACCAATTTAATTTCTAAAACTACAAGTGGTTACAAACTTGGGATTAATTTGGCCTTGTGCAAATCTAAATCTGGCCAAACTGGTTGAAAATCAAGTTTTTTTTGAGTTCAGGGCCCCTATAAAATAAATTTTCTGCTGCTTTATTGCAAAAATTTGAACTGTTAATAAGTAAAATCATAAGGAAAATTAATGTTTAAAATTTAAAAAGTGGTTTGCAGTCTGATTTAAGAAAAGAAAGCCACAGAAGTTGGTACCATGTGGATTTGTTTTTGCAATATCGGACCTGAAGTTATGATAATGTTTATTTTACATTGTAAGGCAAGGAGCTTGCATGTGGTATTATATTCATACTTGATGTTCAGAGTTATGAAATATGTTGTGATTTTGTTGCATTCCTCTGGTACTTGTTTTTATAATGTCTCTGCCCCTATGACTAAGAATCAATATTTTGCTCCCAATTTTTCTGCTTTTGTTGTTGAGTTAGATTCTCGAGTTTCTTCTTCTACATTGTGGACACAATAGGGGACACGGAAAGAGTAGAAAAGGGGTCTTCGTTATTGGTGTAGTTGGACTTTACTTAACCTGGGCCTAGTGTACAATTTGCTTTTGATTGTCTTCATATGTTAGGAGTAGTTAGCCGAGGCATGCTGGCAGTTTTGTGGATGTGTTGCCTCTGCAGATATCGACATGGTGGTTCTGTCTGATACTTTTTTGTAGCTTTGGATGTCTTGTTTCTTGTCACCAGGTTCATGAATCATTTTGAGATATATAGTCATTTAGACTGTTAATAAGCTTGAGTCTGGAGTTATTATTTGTTGTGGAACTTATGAAGTGGTAGCCCTTATTGGTTAGGGATGTGGCAGACGCGATTAACATTGGCATCACGGAATCTCTTTTAATAGTTGTATGGTTATTGTAGGTGTGAGGTGTTGAATCTTGTGGTTCCTCTTACTTATTTATGATAGTTTGTCTATTTATGAGTACATTTGATGCTATGTATGAGTTTGACTGGATTTAAGTTTGCTTCAAGTGTTGGGATGGAGTGGTGAATCTATATGCACCTTTTATGATCATAATCTCAGTATATTTGACTGACCTGTAAGGCTGGTGGATTGGGTATTTGATGGTGTTGGAATTGTAGACAGATTTGGTAAGAAATGGCCTTTCGACTTGGTGTAAGATTTGATTAAGAAATGTAGTAATTGTGGGGATGGTGAATAATAAGCTTTTGATACCTTTTTGTTGTTTAGATTCTGTTATTATTTGCACTACCTTGCTGCCATGCAAAGGAATTGGGAGGATTTAGTAGGCTGTTACTGTTTTAGGGAGGATTCCTGTATATTTGCTTCCCTGATTTGTTAGTTTTTGTATTTGCTTTGGTACTGCTGACTGATGGGAGATTGGACCCAAAAAACTGTTGAGTCGTGCCTGGTTAAGGAAACGTGGTAATGTTAATGTGCTTAAGCATACGGACTTTTATTTGTTTTAGTGTATAAGTTATGCATGCCTGGTTAAGGAAATGTGGTAATGTTAATGTGCTCAAGCATACTAAAATTTAGAAAGAAGGGAAAGGAGGCTTGTTCTTTGCAATATAGGTTTCTTTGATGAATAAAATTCACGTGGGCCCTTTTTTAAGGTTTTTCTGTGTTGATTGATGTGTGCACCTTTTATAACGTATCTTTAGGCATGGTATACCTTGACTCTTGGAAAGCTACAGGTAGATGCAAAGAAAATGATATTTCTTGTGTAGTGTACTTATTTTATCTTCTCTATGAGATCTGGCATAAGCTACAAATTTGAACTGGCATGGACCTTGTGTTGATTTTTGTGCCCCTGCTTTATTGTTCTTGCAGATGGAAATGTAAGTTCCGGGTCCAATACAGTGATGATGAATTTTATAAGCAAGTTACTTTCAGATTCGCAGGTTAAACCCTGCAGGGATACTTTGAAGATGCCTGCTATGATCTTGGATAAGAAGGAGAAGATGATATCAAGGTTCATTTCCAGTAATGGTTTGGTGGAAGATCCTAGTGCTGTTGAGAAAGAAAGGTCTATGATCAACCCATGGACATCTGAAGAGAAGGAAATGTTCATGGATAAGCTTGCCGTACATGGCAAAGACTTCACTAAGATAGCTTCTTTTCTTGTTCACAAAACAACAGCAGATTGCGTTGAGTTTTACTACAAGAATCACAAGTCTGATTGTTTAAAGAAAACCAAGAAGCATCCTGAATATCCAAAGCAAGGCAAAAGTTACACTGCTAATAATTACCTGGTTGCATCGGGGAAAAGGTGGCATTGTGAGGCCAATGCTGCTTCACTGGATATTCTTGGAGCAGCTTCAGCAATTGCAGCTAATGTTGATGATGGCATGGAAATCCAACAGACATCTACTTCAAAATACTTGCTTGGTAGGTCTAGCGATTATAAATCATCAAAAGGAGATAATGGTCTTTTAGAAAGGTTGAGCAGTCTTGATGCAGATAACAATGAGAGAGAAACTGCAGCTGCTGATGTTTTGGCTGGCATCTGTGGTTCGTTATCATCAGAAGCTATGAGTTCTTGCATTACAAGTGCTGTTGACCCTGGAGAGGGTTACCATGAATGGAAATACAGCAGAGTGGGTTCATCAAGCAGGTTGCCATTGACCCCAGAAGCTATGCAGAATGGTGACGAGGATACTTGTTCTGATGAAAGTTGTGGGGAGATGGATCCTACTGATTGGACTGATGAAGAGAAGGCTATCTTCATTCAAGCTGTGTCATCTTATGGCAAGGATTTTGCTATGATCTCTAGGTATGTCAGCACTCGGTCAAGGGAGCAGTGCAAGGTTTTCTTCAGCAAGGCCCGTAAATGCCTGGGATTAGACATGATAAGCCCAGGACCTGGCAATGTGGTTAGACGTGATGCTAGTGGTGGCAGTGACACTGATGACGTGGGTGTTGTGGAAACTGGTTCGATCACATGCAGTGAGAAATCAGGAGTCAAATTGGAAGTAGACTTGCCATGTCCTGAAGTGAAGTTGAACATTGAGCCTGATTCCGCAGGATTAGCCAATGTCAATCCTGACCTGAACCACTTGGAGGAAATTAGCGGGACAGGAGATCGGGCTGCTGTCGAAGCTGGACTTCAGTCAAAGAATTTGACTGATGACTCTCAGATGGAGGAAAAACCAGAGCAGGAAGCTGATGGGAATGGCGATATCCAATCTGTTCATAGTGGTGAGGTGGAGCAAGGAACTGCTGTTACAACCAGAGGAGTTGGAGAGACCTCTGACAGTGCTAATACATTAGATACTCAAATTCATAGTGGAGCTTTGGAGAAGCGGGATGAGCACCTTGATGCAGAGATGGAAGGGCTAAGCCCAGTGTCATGGGAAAGTAGCATAAATGATAGAAAGGAGAAAGATGATGCGAATCAGAAAGATGTGAATGGCATGGACCAAGATTTGAAGTCTACTCCAGATGGTGATATATCTGGGGACCGGCAGATTGGTGTGTTGGAAACTGATTCTGTGGGAAGACCTTGTGTTGTCCCAATCGAGCAGAATGGTTTTCCAGCTCCCATGAAGTCAGTACCTCAGTCATGTGCTGTAAAATGTCAGACTCCTAATGAGGCTACATCATCAGCCCTTGAGGCGGTGAAGATTAGTGGCGAGCAGGGTCATCAAGTTACTAGGGTTGGAGAGAAGCTCCGTTCTGGAAGTTCCTTGCTGGGAAGTGTTGATCCCTGCCAGATCCTTAAAGGCTATCCATTACCACCCTCGACAACTAGGGAGGTGAATGGCAACAGCAGTTGCAGAAGATCTGCTACCCCTCAAAGCTTCCCAAAGGTGGACAATAATTTCCATCGTGATCGCCATTTGGCTCATGATTCTTACCTTCAAAAGTGCAATGGTGTGAAACATTATAGTTCAATAGCTGAACTTCCATTCAAATTTCGGGAACAGTCCAGGGATATTAATCCTGACCATCAGTCGGGCAGTCCATCAGATGTCGAAAAACCTCGCAGGAATGGTGATGTGAAATTATTTGGTCAAATTCTTACAAAGCCTTCGTATCAGCCAAAATCAAGTTCTAGTAGACAACAAAATGGAGATAATGAGAATCAGCAATCCAAGATTGGCAAGCCACTTGGCACAAAATTCGCCAGTGATCAAGCTATAGGTGGAAATTTATCTCAGACGAAGTTGGATCGCAATAACCTTCTGGGTACTGAGAACCTTCCTGTGAGGAGTTTTGCATATTGGGATGGGAGTAGAATTCAAACTGGACTCCATTCCTTGCCTGATTCTGCCATGCTACTGGCAAAGTATCCTGCTGCATTTGGAAATTATGTATTGCCTTCGTCCAAATTGGAGCAGCTGCCGGTACATGGAGTGAACAATGGTGAACGGAGTCTGAATGGATCAGCTGTGTTTCCGGCTAGAGAAATTGGTAGTAGTAATGCTGCTGCTGATTATCAAGCTTATAGGAGTCGAGAACTGCAGCCTTTTACTCTTGATATGAAGCAGCGGCAAGATGCGGTGCTGTCAGAGATGCACAGAAGGAATGGCTTTGATGTAGTCTCGGGGATGCAACAAGCAGCAAGAGGATTGGTTGGGATAAACGTTGTTAGTAGAGCAGGGATTCTGGTTGGAGGTCAGTGTACAGGGGTTTCAGATCCAGTAGCAGCAATCAAAATGCACTATTCTAAGGCTGAGCAATTAAATGGTGGGCAAACTGCGAGCATCATTAGAGAGGATGATTCTTGGAGAGGTAAGGGGAGCATAGGCAGGTAGTAGTGCAGAATGGGCCTTTCATGGGGGAGGCCCTCAGTGGCAAATTTATCTTTTTTTTTTTGCCGCATTGTATAATAGTTTTGGGTAACTTCAATTCAGTAATGATAGGGCAGTTGGGGCGGGGTTCAGGACCGTCTTTTTGTCAACAGAATTTTAGGTGCTTGTAATATTTGCAGCAGCTTGTATTTGTTGTATTTGATGAAAATACAGAAATAATCTGTTCAAAGGTATGGGAGGAGGTAGTTCAGTTTTTGATGCACTTTTTTTTTTTTTTTTTGGTCTTCCCCTGAAATGTCTGGTTAATTGGTTGGTTAAGAAATTGTTTGTCTTTCAACAGTTTTGACGGCTAAATAATCAACCGAACACTTTGTGGTTACACGTTTTGGCTGGACTTTTGTATGCATTGTGCTAAAAATGTTTTCCCGGAGTATAATCTTGTCACACATTTGGCGATGTCCTTTTTGGCCTTCTACCTTTAATTCCTAGCGCTGCGAAAGATAAGAAACAGATAGTAGTGAATGATGGAATTGTGGTGGGGGAGAGAGGGGGTGGTGACTATGGTGTTTTTTAGTTTGGAGACTGCTGCATGTGGCAGCCCAGATTTTTTTTCCCTTCCCCCGCAACTTCAGCCTAGATTAGTGGGATGTTTATATTAGTGTATATCCATCTAATATATATATATATATATATATATATATATATATGTATACACACACAGAGACACACATGCATGCATGTCCATGTCTCCATTAATTTAATTGTTGGGGGGGGGGGGGGGTTTCAAGAATCCATCGCCATTGATGACAGCTGTATGGAGTATGGAAAATAGTGCTACTGGTAGTGCAGATTTATTACATAAAAACAAAGGCAGATGAAAACAAAAGACTTTCACAAGCAGTCAACGTCAGCCTGAAATATCTCTTATTTGTTTCCTACAAATAAAAGTCTAAGCTACAAAATCAAGTTGCACTGCACCACGTGATAATAATATCCGGAGGAGAGTTTTTTCTTTTTTTTTTTTTTTTGTTGAGGGTTATTTACACGCGATGGTGCAAAAAGATTTTAGTTGTCACTACATAATACTACTAGTATTTACTATTACGCCACCCGGCCCCATATCATTACTTATGCTTTATTAGCCTTTCTCACACAAGTCAAGCGGTGTCGGACATATTAAGAAGAGTAGTATCAGTTGGTTGCTTTGGGTATGTATATATGAAAGAATTTAAAGGTGTATGTAATGATGAAGCAGGAGCAGAAAATTCAGGAATTTAGCAAATACAAAAAAGAAAGGAAAACCAGCATTTAATGGGAGGTTTGCCGACTGGGACTATTTCAGCAGAGGGTGACGTCATCAATGAAGCAACCGATAGCATACCATCATCAGCAGAAACTTACTACAGTATATGTTAACTTTATCCAATTCGCCGACAAGCCATAACAAGAGTTGGAATTGACAAGCTACTCATTCTCCGGAGTGATAATAATAGTAGACCAGCCTTTAGACAGAGAGGTTCATCGGCTCATTTCCAATATCAACTTCTGCACTCTTCCTCCTCTGTCTGCAAAATAGAGGGAAGTGGTGCGACAATCTTGATCGGCTGCAAAAGAGGGGATCATGACAACTTCACTGAATAAAATACTATCCAGAAGAAGACTTCACAATCATAACTATAATTACAATAATGTGAGTCGCCTCATGGAGAGTAGGGCAGACTCACCTCATGTGTAGTGGGGTGAGCAAGAAACAACTGATGTGCATGCAGATGATATCCGCAGTCCCCTGGAACTGGATTCTCAGGTCTCTGATATCCTCTAACAACAAAAATAACAGGAAATGCCATGACATATATATATATATATATCAGATGATGAGGTAATATTAGTTTTCTGCTGTCGAAGAAGCACAAGTTAACACTCAGCAACACTTGTATTTCCCATACCACAGATTTATGTTGATATAGGTGTTACTGTTATTAATTACTTGTATGAAATCAAAAGCTTGCTGGTAATCACAATCTATTTTTTTTTTCCACTAACAAAATGCAAACCACAAAAAAAAAAACCTGTGTAATACAATTGACACGTATACTAATTGTTCAATTGAAATGTGAAAATAAGGCCATCATGCTATAAGATAGAAAAGCAGCTTGTACCCATCCTGAGCAAAGCTTTCATCTATGAATTCAGGATCAAAGCAACTTGGTTGGCCCCCAGCAACATAAAGAGGATCACCTGCAGAGAACCACGGAATAAATATACACTCGGACGCCATAACTGGTACATGCAGGAATCAGTGCTTTCAAGAATTGACCATCAACCATGGACAGCTGACAGCAATTTTGGAAGTGTTCCAAGGTGCTTATCCGCACAACCCAGGCCGTGCTATGACACAAAACTTCCATACAACAGTTTCTTCATCACCCAATCAAATAACTATTCCGAACCCAGCAAAAACTTTTTTGTCATCAATAATAACAAACATTTACCCATTAATTTTCTTGGTTTTACCTCGACTATCACATGTCAGTTCTTTGGTTCTTTGAAACAAATCTAATTTCTCAACATGTACCTAGCAATGGGTGCCCAATGAAAGAAAGGTGAATACGTATCTGGTGCGGCCTTCCAGATTGAATTTCCACCTGTTGAACAGTATTGTTGCAAAAGTAAAAAAAAAGTTTGTGATATATCAGAGTAGAAAGAAAACAGATCAAAAATTTTGGATAAAGCCAGATAACAGGAAAAGATGTCTCATGGGAACTGTTATCTCAGAGTTAAGCTTCCATCCACTTCAAGTGCTATCAGCTCTTTTTCTTGCAACCAAAAAAGATTCAATTATTTTTGCATTCTTACTTCTTACTTTTCCTACCCTTTGACTCACTAATCAACAATCATCTTAATAACTTCCTATGATAAGCTAAATTAATAAGCGTTCTGTGCAATTTTTAAAAAGAAAATTTCATGATTATCATGACCTATGATATTTGATGAATTTCTGTCATTCTGGGAAAGAAAATTTATGACTTACATTTCAAAGACATGAAGTATTTAACAGGAATACCTGGACCAATGTGGAACTATTCTTCACATTCCTTTCCAGAATGCTAACCTTGCTCAGAGCCAGTTTCCCTGGCCAATGTAATGAAAAGTAAAATCAGGAACAGAGAAGTATTTATGAGTAAATGCTCTCAAACAATGTAAACGAAATGCCTGGACTATCTGGAGAAATGATAATACCTATCTGCACATCAATACATGGTAAAAAAAAAAAAAAAAAAGAAAACGGGGTAATGAAGGAAAACCTGAAGCAGAAGCAACATACAGCCCTTTGGCTACACCAGGATATTTAACCAATCCAATTGGCTGGTCTATAACAACCTATCACACAAAAGTTCACTTTCTGGTTTCAATCCAAAAGTCAAATAGAGAAACTGTTAAAACAACAAAAGAAGAGAGAGAGAGAGAGAGAGAGAGAGAGAGAGAGCAAGTATGAAGTTCTCCACCAGTATTACCTGATCCTGATCAATTATCCCATTTACTAAAGCACGGTAAAATTTTGAAATTTTCCTTGTTGAATTGAATCGTGCATTGTTGCAACTAAACAAGTAAAAGTTGCATACGAAATCAGCTATGCAGTAGAAAAAACAGGAAAACAAGAAACATGAGAAAGAGAAGTCAATAATAATTATGACCACTCAAATTGGTTTAAAACATGGTTTTGAATAATAAGTTATGGCGTTAAACATACTTTCGGAATATCTGGAAATGGTTTGTACACAGCCATAAGATGTGTTTTTCTTGAAAATAAAATTGTTCAAACCAGCTTTGTTGATCATAGTTGGCTAGGCCAACTGTATCTTCACCAAGAAATGCAGTGTGTAGAAGTAAACTGAAATTAATTTTCTGGAACAGTGACAATGAAATCTAAATCTAAAAGCAAATGTGAAGCGCTCAAATCATTTCATTCTTTCGAACATGCTTGCTCTTGATTTCCTTTGAAGTTTTACTGTTCTAGTATGGGATTATCTTCCATCATGTTTGTTATCTCTTCCTTCCCCTCTCTTAAAGAAGAAACATAAAAGTTTCAGCTAAATTTCCCTTGGCAATTTCAATTTATATATGTGTTTAAGGGAAAAGCATAAATCACCCAGTTTCAACTTCCAAGGGGCTAAAGCTGAATAGTTGCCACCTTCATTTAATCATTATGATAAATCAATTGAAACTGAGTCTTGAATGTGTAAAACCACAACAGAAAAATTCTCTCTTCCTGACCTTTCATTCCCGACAGCTGATGTCCCATCAGCAAAGTATGCTGCAAGGCAAGATTTTGCCAACTTTGTCTTTGCACAAAGCAATACTCCTGGAACCTCAAAACAAGTATATAACAATTCAGGAGGGTTGTAAGAAATGCAAGATATCTTACAAGTGACATCTAGATAAAAGAGAGAAATATAAACGTGAAAGGTCATGCAGGTTACTGAACATTTATCCAGCTGATACAACGCAAGGGGTTTGTGCCATTTTGAATACCTTTATCAACCATATATGACAGAAAAAGAACAAAGTGACCAAAATACTTTTAGCGCAGAATTTTACATACTAGAAACATCCAATTGTCTTGCAGCTCAATGAACTGAAATGTATCACACTACGTGGACAAAAGTGCCGTGAAGATCATTCTATCATATTTTTTCTGATATTTGAATGTGAAAAGAAAGAATTGGAAAACCTTCATATTTTAAATTCTGTAAGTATGCAGGAAAAGATTAAAGCTTCAGCTAGCAGTCAACAAAATAAGATATACATCCTTAAAACAGATGGAGATTTTACAAGAAACAATATTTGATATGTAGAAGACTTACCCTTGATGAAAGCTGCAACAGAAAAAACAATATTCACCCTAAAGATTCAATTGCATTAGAACCATAATCCTAGCTTTAATATTCTTAGTCCAATTAATATAAAGTCCCCAACATGGGCAACAATGCTAATTCATAAAATAAGGAACAACTTGCTGTCAAAAGAAAAAAGACCAAAAAAAAAAACTATGGAACAACTTTTGCAGTATTCATTAAAATTGTGCATCTTTTAAGCATTTCTATTGCCCCTTTCAACTTATAAACATTTAGGGTTAAATTTTTTATGGATTCTAAATGTACAGATTTCCACAAAGCAAAAGCCAGATGAGTGTTTAAAGAATACAAAGCTGACCTGATGTGCCCCTTCCAAGGCGATGAACAGGTACAGCATGTGGTTGTTTACATGAAGAAGTTCCCTTGTTTGCGCGCCACTCAAGTTGTGACAATACAGTCCGCTGCTGGAAGAGTCCTCCAGGAAGAACTTGAAGACCGGAGGGTTTATTAAGAGCAATCTGAACAGTTGCACGGAGTTGAACATGTACAGCAATCTAGTTAAGAGAGATACCACAAAACAGTGCTCTAAAACAAGTAGATTATCCTTATTCTTTTGACAAAGCCATTATTTTGCATGTTTACATGGTAGTAGGACTGATCATTGGTGAAGGTAGTAGCTGCCTATCTGGTAGACCACCTACTAATGCGGTTTTTGGGTAAGAGCACCAAAGAAAGGTAAGAATAAGATTTTCTTTAAAATTAGTGCAGCAAGACCCACCAGTAAAAACTAAAATCGTTACTGCAGCAATAATAAACAGCCATCGAGTGTAATGAATCTTTTCCCCTAAGAACAACAAATTTTCCTCCTATTATCAGCTATCAGAAGAAGAGGGCAAGGATATTGCTGTGAAGCAACCTTTTGCTAATATTGTATCCTTGAAAACTTCAAAATAAAAAAGAAAAAAAGTACCAACTTGAAAGCAGAGGTATCATAAGCAGAAAGTCTTCATAGGGTCACAACTGAAAACAATTGCACTTCTTAAGTTTACTACATGAAACACAACAGTAAAATTTCAGGCTGAACATATCAAGAGTTAAATGAGCCAAAGCTCATTAAGAACAACAGACTGAGGAATTCATACTACTAAATAAACTGTGTTATTGATTAAGAAACTACTATATGGGTCATAAAGAAAATGAATAAAGGTCAAGTTTTTAACCAGATCATTGTCTTCAAACAGGACCTCTAGGAGGTAAGGTGCATGAGGCTCTTTCCAAGGAAGCCGGTGATAGACGAGTTCTGAGCCAGCTCTGCGAAACATTGGTTTTTGATCTTAATTGACAACCCAAATACAATACATCACAATAAGCACAACAAAAAGGCAGTTTGGTGGGGAAAAAATAAAACCTGAGGATTGTGTTGGGATCAGTGATAACAGCACCATCAACCTTAATCTGCAGCCAAAAATAGCACTCAACTTACAGAAAACCCAGCCAGCCATGTAGTCGGGAAATTTTCAGAATTTGGACAATGGTACCGAGAAGAATCAAAACCTGTTTGTTCTTTATTCTCTGCAACCAACTGCTCAATTATCAGCACATTAAGAAATCTCAAAATCTTAACACAAAACTACAGCTTATTCGGCAATTAGTGTCAGCCAAAAAAGGATATAGGGGAACGAAAAAAATTAAAGAAAAATAAATAATTCTTTTGAAGGAAAAGAGAGAGGTTATAAAAACAATTTCTTGGCGATAGACTAGGAAGAGAAGGAAGTTAAAAAAGAATACTGTAAGAAGATTACCCCTGAACGGGAGCTGAATTCTTGTACTTTTTGGAGTAGTACTCGATCACTGTCAAACCTGTTAAATTGTTGGGCAGCCAAAAAATAAAAAATAAAGAACGAAAAATTGTCAGGAGTGCCAAAAACATTACTAGCCTCATATAAGTGAAGGATTCGGAGGGCTGGTAAAGACCAGCGTGAGGAGGTGGAATGAGGTCACGGTATGTTAAGCCATCATTCAAGTCCGGCCAGGGCTCTCCGAATGTCATAATGGGCAGGCGGGGCAGCGTTGTTGACGGGAGGGGTTTTCCACTGCTCGACATTTCCGATTAAACGAGTGTTATTGCAGATAATGCGAATTTGTAATGTTGAAAGGTTGTAGACTTGTTTTCCTTGTTTCTTTTCTTGGGTTATAAGATTTCAATCGAGTCACAGGCATCTAACATATTCATACCTAATGATCTTCCACAAAGTAAAGCTACCTGATTCATCCATATTTTTTGTTCCTGAAGATCAACGTAATTGTATGTACGTCTGTCTAAGTAAATTATCTTGTTTGTTTGACAGTCTCGATTTGTCTCTGAATTTCAAGAAGTCCATTCAGATGTAAGAAGGATTAGTTAGTAGTTTTGCTTCATCTTTTTCTGACATCTGAATGAGAAATAGAAGCTTTGGGAAAACTTCCTACTGTTACTTAGGTAAGGGAGAAGAAGATCAGAGATCAAATTTGGAGTCAACACGCTTCAGATTCCGAAGAGTGGACATTTAAATAAGACCTAGTCAATGATGATCATTTCGATGGCTTCTGCAATTTTCATGAGAAGTTTTGGTACTGGGAAAATGAAATCGACCTTGACCATTCCACCATTCATAAACAGGAAATGAAGGGAAAGAAACTCTTTAACCAAAATCCAACAGCGCAACTAGAAACAAGGATGTGTGCCTGAAAAAGTCTACATGAATAAATATTACTTGTACTCAAATCACTCTTTCCTCCAATTATTTCATAAGTGAATCTCTCACAAGAATACTCTCATTCCCTCTTTATTCCTTGAATAGCCGAATGCAGTCTGAGGATAGAAAAGGTGATGAAAGAAGGAAAAAATAGACATATATAAACACCACCACCCCCCACCCCCCGGCGGCGGGGCCGGGGGTTAGCACAAATCAGTAGAAGAAAACCAAAGAGAGCAAACATCAACAATACACGTTGGCCGATGAAGATGGCACAGCAATCGACAGAGGAACTTTGTTCCAGTCAACAATCTCGCCACAATGGCCACTATTAACTCCAATAACTGCTCCATGAATCGGACCATTGACTGAAGTTTCGAGGCTAACTGATTTTCTGGTTGCAACTGCCTTTAGACGATATCGCTCAGCTCTTGAGCCAATAACCTGTCCAAGAATGGATGCAGCAATAGTAAACGCCATAGCTGTCTTCGGCATCAATACGGACTTCCTAAGCATCCCTATAAAAGGGACAGCTGCATGAACGGCTGCAAACCATGAAGGCGAAAATTTTTCTGTATGTTCTCTCCATACTCCTAAAGGAACATTAGCTGCCATGCCCAAAACACCAATCACAAGCATTTTTTCAGGCAGTGGCTGTGGTCGCAGATTTTTTGCAAAGGCAGTCCGCGCTAAAGCAGCTCTAGCTGCAACTATTGCCGGTGGGCACTTGAGCTTCATGCCAGGAGGGGGCTGAAGGGCCTTCGCTACAATAGGCAAGACACCACTCACAGCCCTGTAAGACTTTGCAATTGGACAATTCCCATTTTGCAGCCACTCATTGCTCATAGATTCATGTTTCAATTCCCCACCCTGAAAGATCAGAAAAATTCAATCAAAAGGAATGTTCGCACAACGGTATACTTATTTGGACGGGGATATGAGCCTTTCTGCTCGCCAGTTGCCTACAGATTAAAGAACTCTGTCTAAACATGTTGTCTGCCAGTGATCATCAGGACTTAGTAATACCAGAGAAGTTTAGAACATGAGCCTATGCAGCTCTAGGAATTGACATTTCTACAAATTAAAAGATCACATACCTTCGAAGAAGAATCTCGTTTGGATGACTGGGAGTTCTTTTTCTGATTCTTCCACTTTTTCGAGAATGCATCAAAACCAAAAGGGCCACCAGGTCCAAAAGCTGAGAGGCTGATAGTAGCTGCCTTTGCCGCCAAAGGATTGAAATGGGCTGGTGCAGGTTCAGATTCTGGCTTTTCATGAGGAACAAAGAATCTCCCTGAAAGTGGAACAACACCATTCTGCCCATGAAAAAGCCTAAATGCCATATCAAAATTGGGGCCATCTTCAAATATAGGACCTTTTCCTCCACATTCCTGGTTAGGGCACTAAAAAATAAGGAAATGTATTAGTCCCTCCACGTCATGCAAATTTACTAGGACATACACAATATATGCTGCATTCATCATGACCAAAAACACCATAATACATACAACAGGAGTAGTGCAATTAGCATGCATCAACGAAGCTTCTGACTAAAACTATCTAACAGATACACAACTTACAGGCAATGGATGCGCCATTGATGCTGAGAAGGAGAAGTTAGTTGGCTCATTAATGTTCCTCAAGAAGGGACACCTAACAATGCCTTGGTGAAAAGGTAAGGACTCTTCATTTGTGTCCCTGACAAAAAATTCCATCTCACAAAGCAGGATGACCTGCAGAGAAATTGTACACAATTCAAACAGCCGTAATTGTGATGATATGAATGAAGTTAAAAGGGGAGATGTGATTTTCAGCCATCTTTACGTCATGAGCTAACAAAACTATCAAAAACAAGATAAGGAAAAAAAATTAATGAACTGTCCATACAAAGACAACTAGAGATTCAAGGACACCTTTCCTTTAGAATTATACAATCCCTCACATTTGTTTTGTTCGTTAATCTTTTTTAAATAATCTCTCCAATAACAATCTCAGAAGGGCATCTTTCCTCCTAACTAATGAACCCCTAATCCTAAAACCTAAATAGTCACGGATAAAGAAAGAAATCATAAAAAATGAAAAATCGGGAGAAAACCCAGCATGGGAATTTATGAAATCAGGCTGAGTTTGCATTATCAACAGAATTTGAACTCAAAACAAAGAACCTCATATTTACCGTAACAAGTAATAAAGTATAGAACAATCGCCCTGAACAATTGGAAGCATAACTCACATACCAAAAACATAACTACAATGCTTTCTTCTTATACAGCTACATAGATAACTATACAGCACTGATCCAATTTGAAATTTATGAAATCAAAAGATTTGACAATCAGAAGTATATTCAAGTGAACTGTACGAGTTCGTTTCTTATGTAAACATTATTCCGTTAGTCCGCAAGAAGAAGGTGTGCTTTTAAATATAGACCACATAAATGAACTGCCCCCCTTTATATCAAGACACAGAGCTCCTGGTTTACTCAGGACATAAAGGTCACTTATTGTTCATCAACTATCATGAATAAAAACACAAAGAATCCAGTAAGTCAACAGCTAATGGATCAAAAGACTCTCTGGACACCCAAATTCTGATGTCCAACATGCTAATAACAAGCAAATTCTCAAGCACCAAAAGCTCGACGTGCACAAATCAATCTGGTTTGGTTTTTCTTTTTAAGGAAGACAGTCAAACTAAGAACATACGTGGGAAAAAGTACACACTTTGATTAAGGATCCTCATTCAACTCAGGATTCCAATCAACTGGGATAACCAGAGCATCTATCTGAAAGCCAAAAGCCCAATAAATAAAAAAAAATGAAAAATTTGGGCATATGAAATCAAAAGCCAAACTCCAAGATTAGACCTTTGCATCCCATCAACAGGACTACCCAACATTCAACATCAAAAAGCCCATAAACCATAACTCATTATTTACCGGGAAAGTTGCTTAAGAGCATAAATTTGAATAAAATCCAGAATCCAAATCAGAACTAAACTGCAGGAGAACAAAAGCCCACAACAGAAAACCAATAAACCATACAAACAAGAAAGGGAAATATTGATCATACCTCAGATGAACGTGAAAGAAGGTCCGAGAAAGGAATAGACAAAAAAGGATCTTTGAAGGCGAAGAAAACTAGATGAAAGAAAAAACGAAGGAAATATGAAGTAGGTGGGGTGGGTTTTGTTTCGTTTGGTGAGGCTAGAAGAAAGGACGAAAGAGAGAAGACAGATGCCTTAGTTTCTCTCTTTTTTTTCCTTATGATTCTTTAGACAGGAAGAAGGGAAAGACGAACGACGCCGTGGAGAGCACACGCCAAAATCGAGCAGCGAGGACACCACGAGCCGGCCTAATTTGACAGCTTAGACTTTTTCATTCGGAGAAAAGAAGTCCATTCCATTTTCGGTTTTCCCCTAATAATAGTTTCAATTTCTACAGAGCAAATGGGGAAGAGGAACTAGTCAAAATCTTAAACGCATTAATTTGCTGCTTTTGCCCTTTTCTGAATTCAAATATAGGACTTTGTTGCCCCGTAGGACTTTTTTTCATATATCATGCAATTTTCGGTAGTGTAAGGTTTGTTTAACAAATTATTTAGTCTACAAGAAAGTCATATTACTATGATTAGTTGAGAATGGTGAAATTTGATATATGATTCTTAATATTATTTCTCTTCTCTAGGGTATATTTTTATGTATATAAATTGTCTCCCCTAACTTTTTCAAATATATCTCCTATAATTTTTTGATAAAATTTTTGAATTCTACACAACGACCTTTGACTTTTAGCGCGGGCGACAATGGAAGCTTCCAATGCTGATCACGTTTGCTGGAATCGCGCACGATGGCCATGCGAACTCGCATATAAAATGTCATATTCTTTGAATCTAGACAACTGTCACTTTCATTATTTTGTAGTTTCCTACCCAAAAAAAAAAAATTTATATTGTAGTATTTTATATATTTTTTTTTCCGGGCTGCCGGACGCTCGTAAATTCTTGCCAAACAACAATGATAAGACCAATTAAATCAGACCAATTATTGTGCCACCAACAAGACAGCACCAATGGTCCATTACTCGCACACTTGGCCCTTCTTTTAACTGATTTTTTGGCCATCAACCAAACCAATACAATTGCATCCACTCCTTGCGGCTCTGTTGTTTACTGGGACAGGGGCATCTCAATGCCCAACCTCTTGTACAACCGACCTTTACTTGAGCGATGCATGATAATTCGATTCGACACTTAAATTTAATGAATTCATATTTTAATATGTTAAACGTATTTGATAATAAAAAATTAAATATTTAAATTAATTACGTGACACTTAGCAAAACTTGATTCCAAAAATAAGTAATAACCTATTCATTTATCACTAAATATGATATACACTCAAATATATTTAATTTAATACTTAATAATTTAATAGATTCAAATTTCAGATTTCACGCTTCAGTTTTATCAAGCACGCTTTAGTCTTTGGAATGTGACTAAACCAGCAAAGCAAAGCAAAGCAGGATGGGTAATGCAATATGCCCATGCAGCAATGTCTATTAGGCAGTAAGGTCAGCAGAGCTCGAACTGCATGCTTTTAGCGGTGAAAGTCGTTGCTTTGCCATTTTCCCTGATTTTTACAGTGGAGTTTGTTACCTGCAGCCCAGGGCATCAATTTAGTTTACTTGCCAACCACTCTGACAAAAACCAAAGCGGCGCCTAACGTTTACAAGAATACTACAGTGCTCAACC